TGACCATTCACACTGGAGTAGATAAACTCCCCGACTGTCCGCTAAAGGCCTCCAGGTCGGTTTCTGATAGACACTTCGGTCAGGTCGCTGACAGCTGACTGATGAAAGTGAAATCTAAGTAGGGCATATCACCACCAACCCAGGTTGTTGTCAAACAAAAGCATGTACCCGAACGATACCTCCATCCCGACCTGAAAGCGGCCTTTGTGCAAATTAAGTGGTGGGATTCGCACATTTACCCCGACCTATAGACATCATTTTAAGCAGTTGTTCGGACGAAGAGGATCCTACATGAACCGAGGCATCTCAGGTGTTCTCGAGAGGTAAATTATGACTCAGTCAGTTATCTTACCAACTAAATTTGGAGCTAGATTGATTTGGCCGGAAATAGTTTTATCTGTAACACAATTTGCGACCATCAACTTGTGAACAATTCCGACAATTGTCCTACAGGAAGCCGCACTGTCGCGGCGAAAGTACCCTTGACTGGCATGTGTGTGGAGTGCCCATCGGGCATTTCATCAGTTGGAAAAAGCAAGCGTTGAGCTGCCTGGTAAGGAATGAACTAAACAGTTGTGGCGAAAATAGATTGTGGATGTGGTGTTCCACAACATTGTCTGCATCCATTCTCTTGGCGGCGAGAAATAGTGGGTTAGAAAGCCGGGCAAAGTGTCAAGTTAAAGGTGTTCTGGCAAAATGTCTAAAACGGATATCTGGGAAGCCTACTACATCTGTCTTGGGGGGAAGACAACTTTCCGAATCAATAAAAACGAAAAACGACTGGTGCAGCTCGAAATGAATGGTGTCGCGAAGGGTGCCTACAGAGCCACGTTTTCAGACGAAAGCAAGCTAGTAGGCTCCAAGCTCAACAGCTGTCAAGCGGATACATGACGTCTATACATACGGCCCAAAGCTCTAAAACCAATCCTCATCCTCGGCACATTCATCTGCCTTAAAGTACACGAGGCATGCAATTCTCGATCTGATATGGGATACACCGTTTACAACTATTTCAGGTCAAGAAGCTAACAGGAAGTAGAGATAGAAGAGCACCATCGTTCAGCCGAACGTCCGACAGCGATACCTGGAGCGGAGCCGGTTATAGACACGCCCTCTGCACCTGGTGGAGCAGTGGTAGCCTCGGCCAACTCTGATGGCCGAACAGCGGGCTACTAATTATTGTCACATGAGCATGTCACTTCAGATGACTTCCACAAGGCGACTGAGGGCACCACCATCGCGTGGGAGCACACTGAGGACTAACTTTAAGGAAAAACCGCAGACGACCTGCAGGTATAAATACTTTGATGACTAGAGGTTGCAGTAGTTAAAAAACAACTAGGACAACAAACATAGTCTGCTTTAAGTGACAACCTACGAAGACGTCGGTCAAAACTTCAAATACAAATCTGAAAACTAGCCTCCCAAACTCTTAAAAGAGAGAACATGACCGTTCTATTCTTGGGGCCATATGAATCGAGAGATCCTTCGCCATCCACGGGTCCTGGAAGCTGGCTAAATACAGAAAATAGAGCGAGGCATACAAAGAACCACGGGTGTCATGGGTGGCTGCGGCACACATCACAAAGATAAACATCGCCCTACGCAAGCCTCGATATGCTACATTAGGTTACAGCAAGATGTTAATAAATACAGACATTACAGGCAGTGCTGATAGTTGAGCGCAATGCAACTCCCAGAAAACGACAACGGGCGCGTGAGAGGTCCGACAGCGATTATGAGGGCGACATGGACCATGCCTCCTATGCAGAACGCACACAATTTAAAATGAAAAGACGATTATTTCATATTCCTTCAATTTACTTTAAAAATCAGTTTGCAGTTTGGGTAAATTGCCAGACATGGATACGGTTGTCCGTGTAACCAGCGAAGAGGGTTTGACCATCAGCAGACCATGCCAGACAAGTGCACTCGGGAGCCTTGGCCTTCTTTATGCCATCGGCGTTAGTGAAAGTCTCGACCTGTAGTTTGGTGACCAGAATCTTGTCCTCAAGATTCCAGATCTTGATATACGGTCCAGTGGCAGCACACAACCAGTACCGCGTTGGGGAGAAACATAGCGAGTTGATGATCGAGCCGCTCGGCAAGGTATACAAGTATTTCCTAGCCGCAAGGTCCCAGAGCATTGCATGCTCATCCTTGCCACCGCTAGCACACAGTGTACCATCAGGGGAGATAGTAACGGTGTTCAGGTAGCCGGTGTGTCCGACATGGTCAGTCCTGAGTTTGCAATTGCGCTGATTCCAAACCTACGAAACTTAAGCAGGACTAAAGAGTAACTTACCTTTACTACTTTGTCCCAGCCGCAGCTGACGATCAGTGGTGTGTCGACGCTAGGGGAGAAGCGAACGCAGGAAACCCAGTCCGTGTGGCCTTCGGTGTCGAAGGTGTATTTACAGAGACCAAGAGTGTTCCAAAGCTTTGCAGTACGATCGCGAGAGCCTGAAACAATCTGACGACTGTCCGCGCTGAATGCGACGCTGAGAACGTCCCCGGTGTGGCCAGTGAAATGTCTCGCCGTCTGACCGGTAGTTAAATTCCACAGGCGAAGCGTCTTGTCCCAGGAGCCAGAAATTGCAAACTGGCCGTCTGCAGACATCACAACGTCACTGACAAAGTGATTATGTCCACGAAGAGCGCGTTTAGCAACGCCATAGTTGCCTTGTTGGTATTGAAGCTCCCAAACGATCAACGATTTGTCTAAAGAATCGTATGCAAATAGGACTACGTACCTCTGGAGGAAGAAAGAAGGATATCTGGGTACCGAGCATTTGTCGCTATCTGCGTTACCCAGTCGCTGTGACCCTCAAGGGATCCTTGGTAAAGAAAATGCTCGTTCATTTACGTACGCTTTCCCACTTTACAACGTGCAGCCCACTTGTTTCAAAAGTGCACGAGGGCGCACTTAAACAAACAAGCGACGACTGACCAAATTAGCTATTAGTTATCTAATCCATTTTCTAACATATTATCTCTTCTGCAACACAATGGACTGTCTCAAACGAAGACTGAATCATCAATTATAGGCAAGATAAGCAGTGGTTTGCTGGTCGCGTGCCGACTTCATCATCATCGAAGCGTTTCTTTAAGAGTTGCAGGGACGTCGCCTCCACGACTGACTGAAGGAGATAATTCAATTTCTCCAATACCCTTTGTGTGAAAATTTCAGAACGAAGATTCACACTGGGCATTTTTGTCCGTAGCTTTATCGAGTGATCACGAAGAATGGGTGAAAGGTGCCGCTGAAACGTGTCCTAAAAGCTAAGTCCGTGCTCAAGGCCATGTGCTATCTTGTTAACCCTGATAATATCACTCTTTGCTGCCAATAACACGGAGGGCATAACTTGTGGCACTTCAGTCTCTCTATGTAAGATTGGCTTTTTAAACCGTTCACCAGCTTTGCTGCATGACGTTGCACTCTTTCGGGGCATGTTTGGCCCTTTACTAGCCATGGCCGCCACGCTGTTTGCCCCATTGTAAATGGGGCCGGACAAAGGCGACTAAAACATTTTCAAAAGTTCTTTTTCAAAGGTTACGAACGCCCTTTTGACTTCATGGAGAACTACCATGGCGTTTTTTACAGCCCTATTGCACTGCAGTGTTGGTTTCATGTTACTCTGTTTGCAAACACTGAGACCTTTCTGCGAAGATTCTGCGGACAGTGTACTGCCTTTCAGGTGATATGTCCTCAGATTATTTTTTGAATGACAGTTGGTTGTACGTAGATGAAGGACGGCACAATTCTACACATTGAAATCTGGAAGCCATTTCTCGGACCACGCTTGCAGTTGGTGTAGTTGGTCATTTGGACTCTCAATGACTTTTCAGAGCTTAACGTCGTAGGCAAACATTATTTTACTGCAGTCGAGTTCCTGAAGGCCGTCTTTAACACAAACTATGAAGAGCAAGGGTCCAAAAACTGAGCCTTGAGGCACACCACTAGCCACGCCCACCCATTCTGACATACCATCACCGATACAGACACGCTGTTTCCGACCAACCAGAAACGCCCTTCTCCAGTCCAGAAGATCTCCCGGATGCCGATGGCGCTCGATTTATGAAAAAGGCACTGGTGCGGGACAGTGTCGAACGCTTTGCGAAAATCGATGTACACGACATCCACCTCAAAACCCTCTTATAAAGCCCTGGTCCAGACCCCCAGACAAGTTAGCAGATTTTAGATTCAGGAACATCCTCGCCGGAAACCATGTTGAAAATCCTACAAGATGTAGTTTTCTTAACAAAATTGCTATATGGCACACTGTACTAGAGCTTCCGTCGTTTTGCACGACAGGCAACTTAAGCTAATAGGCCTGAAGCTGCTTGCTGCCATCCTGCAACCTTCTTCATGTAAGGGAACGAGATTAGCTTCTTCTACTGCGATGGCAGCCTCCCTGTTATCATTGACAACTGAAAGAGAGTCGAAACGGGCTTTGACAGCTCCGTTGATAGCTCCTTAAGTATCAGCCCAGGAATTCCGTCGGGTCCAGGAAACTTATCTGGCTTTATCTGAATGAGTACACGTCTAGCTTCTTCGGCGGAAAGGGCAACGGTTTCAATGACACCAGTACCTTGACGCATTTAAAACTCCCGGCCGTCTTGGCTTATTTAAAACTCCTGGTTGTCTTCTGAGGACTCCTCCGTACACTGACTGAAAAAACTGCGACAATAATTTCACTTTCTACGGTCCTTCGAATAATAAGTTTCCGAGGCTATCCTTTAGACACGCAATTTCGCCCCCATGTCTTATCATACTGCGGATATACGCATAAAAGTTCTTGGGACATATAATGGATTCTGCTATCAGTTGACGCTCGAAAGAAGTTCTAGCAACCCGTAGTTGTTTGCGGCATTCATTTCGCTGCTCCTTATATTCGGCGAGCGTTATTGGATCTTGAAGATGCGAACACTTTTCCAGGGCCGTTTCTTCTTCATGGTAGTCTTTGTCATCGGAGTGACCCACGGTGGTCGCGCACATGATCTTTTTATTGTATTGGACAGTGGGAGTCAATTAGACGCTCTATAATCCCGCGAAAGTACTGCCAGACTTCTTCTGAATCTTCCATGTTGACTAACCAGGTCTCCTTCAAAAGGGCACCTCTCATTGCGCTAAAGTCACCCTTCCAAATATTTCTGTACCTCTTGATTTTTGGTTGTTGATTTTATAGGAAAGAACACACGCAGGTAGAAGTAATACGGTCAGTTAAACCGAGTGGAGGTAGTGGATTCACTTCCAACATGACCCCTTCTTCTTTACTGAAAACGAGATCTAGACTGTCAGATGGTTGTCTTTCTCGCGGTCTTGTTCCGAATTGTATGTGTGGATGAGGCATTCATACAGAGAGAGGCTTGTAGTGCTTTGGAATGCGCCCTCGTATTTGGTGAAATTTTTCAACTCGACACCGCAGATAACCTCAGGGCCATCCCTTCAAACTGCGTGTACCCTAAGAAAGGTTGCGCTTACTACTATTTCACCTCGGATAGAGGCTCTTCCTGACCATATCTACATCATCCGAAGAGCCAGTGATGATGCACAATGCGAAATGTTTAGATTAGTTTTGAAAGCTACCTTCAACGTTAAGATAATCGCTGGAGATTTTAACCTTCCTGTAATAGATTGGGTTCCAACATTGTTCGCCTAGACTTTCCCAACTGGGCTCAGCTTGTGCGCTCTTCAACCAGTGAAAATCAAGTTTTAGATCTGGTCTTTACCAACGACATTGCTTCTCTTTTTGCTGCGTTCAGAAAGAGCCATTTTGATTGTGACCATGTGCTAATTCAATGTTGCCTGCCATTTGCCATTTACGGAGACTAGCAAATTTCGAAAACGCCTAAATCACGATGGCAGAGACCACGTTCTAACAAATAACTATCCTAGAATATTGGAGTGGCGTGACTTTCTCCCTTACTGAAGCAACAGTCCTTTGCGACATCATCTCCGATGTTACCGAAGGAATCTTAGAATTTGTGACTCGTGGACATCACAAGTCTAACTCTTCGGATTCACTTGACCCCTCACTTACTTTACAATAGGCTAAAAAATTGGGAAATCAGCAGCGTGACTTCTCCACAAGTATATAATCCGTTCATTAAAGAACCGCAGACATTTATGAAATGTCTTCAGAGATGCGCCAAACGCGTGACAGGCAAAGAGATTCATTGCTCTCAGTGATTCGAACACTGCTAAGTCGTCGCTAGAATCTGCCGTCATCGGTGCTCTTCTGAGCGTGGTCACGATACTTCATACATGTTAAACAATAACAAAGTTCTTCTCATCGAAAAAACCGACATAACAGTGCATTCTTTGCAAATGAGTCCAAACCAGTCCCTTTTTAATTTCATTCAATTGTAGATAGGACACAGAGCACTAAGATAAGGACATTCACTCACATAATGCCAGTCGCCGCACTGCCAGCCCGCCGTCTTAGGCTTCCGTGAAGAAACTCTACTCTGTCCTGGTTTTCTCGTTCTGATTGTGAAGTCGTATGCAGTCTGACTATTCGTGATTCTAATAAGTCGGGTATCTCGCCTGATATCTGGGATTCGGACATATTCCTCTGCCGGTTCCTGTACTGTCTGCATCTTCGGGCGACGTCAACGACTTAATAAAAATAGTGCTTTAATCTGTGCGCTGGTGGCCTGTTTTGGTCCGGCTTGGTGAAAAATGTCATTAACTCGACCAGCCAAATCAAAACGGTCCTCTTCTAGCTTATGTTCTAACTTAAAACTTTCAAAACTTCGAGTGAAAACGACTTTGTAAAACAGAATAGTGCTTTCAAATGCCCTACTGTGTCCTTAACCTAGACATCTAATGGTTTCTGGAGCAGAGTCATTTTGACGTAGCGCTCTTGTTCCCACAGGGCCAGTTTTAACAGCATAATTCCTACTTTCTCTTGTCGTCGAGCTCTACTCTCTCTTCTTCGAAAAGTCCTTCATATTCTCGGAACCAGGCTTCGAAATTCATGCCTCCTTCGGGATCGTAAACGAACCCACTGCTTCGTTCCCCGATGTGCTTCCTTTTGTTCTCCCTGGATGCCGGACCTCAATTCCGCCGCAATTCTCTGGGTATTGCTATGAAGCTGGTCTTCTGGGTTTCCAGTATGTGCTTCATTTGTTCTTCTAATATAATATTGCTGCACCTGTGTCGCCAGTTTTAAAGGCACGAAAGAAAGGGCGAACAGGAAGAGAACAGGTTCGGAGGACAACCATTTTATTAACAACTTGCGAACACGAGGAGTTCCAACTCGTCAGAAAGGCGCACTATTTATGTTGGACCCTGTGCGTTCTGAAACACTCCGGCCAATGGCGTGCCTGCTGTTGAAGGCGTTCTAGAACGTTCCTGCCCACGGCTTGCTGGTCGCATATTAGCCACCGCGTGTGCGAGAACCCCTCGGCGGAAAAGTTTGACTGTTTGGCCGACCACCGATTGCGGCGCGCGTAATCAAAGCCGACACGCGTGCTCGGCGCTGCAGTGCACGCCGGTTGGCCGTCTAACTTCACACGCGTATCACTCCGCCGTCTTGGTCCTCTGTTCAGTGTTTTTGACCGTGACTCCATGCCGCTTGCCCTCTCTATAACAATACAGAAATCAATACAACAATACGCTGTGTTTAGGACGCGCAGAAAATGCTAGTAAATATTGGAAAACTGGCCGCATGGACCGACAAGTGGCTTCAAGGTGGCTTCTAGGATGCACCGGAAGCGCGACAGGCAAAGAGAATCCCTTGCTCTCAGTGACCCCAACCCAACTAAATCGTCGCTAGGATCTTCCGTCATCGGTCCTCTTCTGAGCATGGTCATGATACTCCACATTTGCCAAACAATAACAAAGTCGTTCTCAA